GCAGGATTTTAGCAATACATTCGCTTTATTCTTTTCTAGGATGATGTGATTTTTATTGCACTGGTTGATTTACTTAGAAGCTTAGAACACAAGGTTATAGCCATAAAATCAGTACAATGGCAGCACTGAGAGGATACTGTGTAAAAGAAAACATCGCTTATTTTTGGAAAGACTTCAGAAAAGTCCATTGTATTTAAATTTTCATTAAAATTTCATTGAGGATGTCTTTTTTATTTAGAAGAGACACCATGAGTTGCTTCTATTAAAATTGCTTACTTAAATTATTATACACAACTACATAGCACGAGTCTTTTGTTTTGCTTTATTTTATTTTGTTTTGTTTTGGATGGTCTGAAAATATACATATATGTTGACTGAAGGAATAACAAAGAGGAAAGAAGGATGTAAGAATAAAAGAGCCATGGGGTGAACACACTCTGAGACAATGGAAGGGAAATGTTTATATTACTATCGATAAAATGCAAACATTTCCATAGTTAATCATCTATCACCACTTAAATTATGAAATAATTAAAAGAAAATAAAAAGAGTGACAAGTACATTTAAAAGTGAAATAAATGTGTGGTAGGATAGAAAAGAAAAAAAAAATACCTTGTTTCCTAAAGAATTTTCTAAACCTTTTCATCATCATTTTCTAGTTGTTTAGATACAGCCATCAATTTCTCTAGATAACATACATAGACTATTTTTACTGTAGTATTTTTAAGTTCAGAATGACAAATAGGTTTCTGATCAGCTAATAGTGGCTTCCTAAACTACTGAGTCAGTAAAAATTCTAAGGTCTTGTTTGATCTAAGTGGAGAAAGTACATCGTTGATTAGTCGCGTCTGCCCTGGCTGTGGAATGGGATGTCAGAACTCCTGCCATATAGTTACAGATAATAATTTATGTTAAGTTTCTTCAGGAAAAGCAATGCACTGATATGTTTTCTAAATAAAACAAGTGCTAATATTCTTTTAGATTACAGTTTCTTTTCAACAGGCCTCTCTTGTAGATATTCCTGACTAGTATGTTTTCTAGTAAGTAAAGAATAAGACAAAGACCTCAGAAAAATTTATAATTTATTAATTTTTAGGGTTAAATATAAATGCTATTTTTTTCTACAGAATTTTTGAGACAAAGAATTTTAGATTGCAGTTTATTTTTAAATATGTACTATTTTATAAAATTGTATAATTTGGTAAGAACAATACTATGTATGTCTGAAAAGGAGAATGAATTTTGATATCAGATTGTGTTATCACTGTCATTTTAAGTTCTATTGCCAAATATATCAGTGGTTTAATTATTTATATAATCAAAGCCATTGGATTTTTAAAAGTTACTGATTATTTTCTTTATGTTTAACAAGAGTACCCACTTGTTAAATCAGTGATGTGTAGGTATATTTTCAGCAAAAAATTCTTGGATTGGGGGACGAAGGATGGGGTTGTGAAGAAACACTGATTTGTAGTATTTGCCAATTTCCATGGTGTAGGTATTTCTACCATGATGATTTCCAGCTACCAACATGCTGTCATTAAGCATGGAGTTGGGAAAATATGTACACGATTGACTTTTAAGAGCTGATATGAGCTGGCTCCAACCCACTACTGCCTTTAAAGAAACCATATAAATTTTGTTTTCTAAAACAAATATGTTCAAAAGGATCTGCATAGGAAACCTTAACTGAACTCCAATGTACATTGTAAACATGATTAATCTTACAAATATTTTTGTATCTTACTTTTGTAAGGAAAGACCTAATTCCATTACATATATAAAATATATGTATATGATATGAATTTTTTATTTTTCTTAAGCCACATGCCATAATTTTAATCATACACTTTAGAAAATCAAACATATGTTTGCAAAAGTTAACTAATCAGAAACATTTCCCAAAAATATTTGGTCAAATTTCAAGAGCAATCTTCCACATGCCATAATTTTAATCATACACTTTAGAAAATCAGACATATGTTTTCAAAAGTTAACTAATCAGAAACATTTCCCAAAAATATTTGGTCAAATTTCAAGAGCAATCTTTGATGTTTTCTAGGAAAGCTTACCTAATATTTAATTGTTAGAGATTTTCATACTCTGAAAATTTAATAAAATGTTTCTAAGTTTTATGAAAATTATGATTAGAATAGGTAGTTTTCTTTTTTCCTGCAATTTTAATCCTTTTGTACATCTGATAATGAGAAAGGACACATTATACTTGAGAGTATAAATAAGAGCCCTTGCATCAGTAGAGGTAAGTCCTTTGTTTAATTAGACAAATAGTGAATGATGATGATTACTAATGAGTAGTCAACGGATGAGCTAAGTTGTGGTTACTTTCATTTCAATTGCAGTTCTAATCTACCATTTTAGGCCAATGGAAGCATAGCCTGAATCTATGCGAAGTGCTTAACGCCCCCATCTTCTCCCACCACCACTTCCCATGAGAGAAACAGGGAAACAGAAGGCACTACTGGAGTGCTTGGCACATAGTCAGCCCTCAGTAAATGTTGGTTGAATGGTTACAGGAGGAGTTTGGGATCTTAAGCTTTCATTAGTGTTTAATTAAGGCCGTCCATAGGCTTGGAATACTTACATCTCAACATTGTTTCTACTTTTTGGAATCTTATACATCTTTCAAGGCTACCTCTTATATGAAGCCTTCCCTGATCACTGCAAAGAGACTTCTCCTTTTTGTAAATTCCCATTTTTTTTTTCATTTCATCACTTTTAATCATGTTATTTATGTCCCAGTGCTATCCTTGGCAGTCAAGGATATGATAAGCTCCCTAAAGACAGGAATAGGCTCTCATTCATATATGTTTTCACCCACTACATTTTAAAAAATTTCTTGAAAATAGTACATATTCTGTAGTTATTATTTAATTAATAAATATGAATACGGATCTAAAGGTGAAATTTGAAAATAAATCCTTTACCTACATACTACTTTTCAAATACATTAAAAGTTACTATACTTTGTAGCATTTCTCCTTTTCCTAATAGTTACTGCTGTATAAAAATTTTCAGTGTTTANCTTGTTGAGGTATTTACACGGCTTGTGTTGGGGCTGATTTCTTCCTTTCTCTTCAGGATCGAGATCTTTACCAGCCACTCTCATGGCTCCAGTGTCTCGGGCCTGCTTGTTGTAATATTCATCTCGCCCATTCTCCACAAAGGACGCGGGACTTTATCCCAACCAGCTTCTAGGCTTGTGTATGTGTGGGGGTCAGGGCTGGGGAGTTCACTGGGGTAGTCAGAGAGAACAGAACATAGACTTCAGATGTAGTGGGCGTAGCGCTTGCTCGGCAGTCAACTTAAGAGGCTTCCAGAAAGAAGGATAGAATTTTCCTCCAGGGCACATGCCACATGAGCAGGTGGCCTTGGTGATGGCGGGATGTTCTCTCTCACATCGTGGCTAGATACAGTTTGGCCCATTACCACTCCTTGTCTCTCAAACAGTGCCCAGTGCAGTGACTTTTCCCTGTTCTCTCAGGTGATGGTATCCCTTTACCCATGATCTCCATGGGGTCACCATAACCCAGGTGTGCAATAAATAAAACTCTGCTTATTTTTTAAAAAAGTAAAATAGCTCACAAACCCCCATTTCCATAGATGGAAGAACCTAATTTTGCCAATTTAGTGAAAACTTGGATACTACTGGGATTTTTTCTATCCTTTAATTTAATTAATTTATTTATTTACTTTGAGTAAATACTAAGTCATCAAGGAATTTTTCCTTCCTTTTATTAAACTGATTGATTGATTAATTAATTAATTGATTTTGAGTAAATACTAAGTCNTCCGATCTAAAATTTCTTGAAAATAGTACATATTCTGTAGTTATTATTTAATTAATAAATATGAATACGGATCTAAAGGTGAAATTTGAAAATAAATCCTTTACCTACATACTACTTTTCAAATACATTAAAAATTACTATTTACTTTGTAGCATTTCTCCTTTTCCTAATAGTTACTGCTGTATAAAAATTTTCAGTGTTTATTTTACATTTCCTGCTCACCTGTTTTTATCTCTAGGTGGCAGTATTTTTTAAATGCACTGTTTCCTTCATAGTTTCCTTGTAATTTGAGAAACAACTGTATTCCCGCTTTTCTGTAGCCAGGGGAGAACCTTCAACATTTTAAATGCCTAAACTATTCCAATTAAGACTTTATTTTTTTAGAGAATTTTATAATAATTAATGAATTAGAGTTTATTGATAGACTTTGCCTGCTGTGGTGGTGAAATCTCAGCCTACTGCTTTGCTCTGCTCTGGGAGCCATATCATTCCTTAAAGGGACCACAAATAAGGTGTCACTGTTTAGAAATATGTCATCTCCCATAAGAAAACTGTGGCCCCAAGAACGTCAATAAAAAAGAGGTCATGTACTCCTGAGTAAAATCTTTTTTTTTTCCATCAGGTATATTCAGAGGCAGATTTATTATGAACCAAAGGAAATATACTTTGGGGAGCCCCTCACAGAGATCCCTCCCAAGGCTGTCGGACAAGCCCCAGTAATGAATCTTTTCTTTAAAGTGTGACTCCCAAATTGTATGAGCTTCAGGCACCACAAAACAGGGCTCTACCTCTGGGCATACCCATTAAGTAAGCAGTGTGATAGGGTGGAAACCATGTCATTCAGCATGTCTGGAGGCCTGGGTTCTAGTCTATGTTTAGCACTAGCTTGCCAGATAACCTTTCAAAAGCATTTAAGCTTGCTGTGCCTTAGTCTGCAGGCCTATGCAATGACACTGGTCATTAACATATCTTGTTTTTCTCTCTGAGATATGTGATATTTACTCAAAATAACATACTAAGACTCAAAAATCAAAAAGTTCAGAAAAATAATTAACTAAAAAATGTAAAAATTAAGTATTCAGAATTCGTGTTGTTAAACACGAGGCCACTGTTACCTTCCCACCATTGAGCAAGGTCAGCAGCAGAAATCTCTGAGATTCTCCCTAACTCAAGTTTCTGTTCCTCCTACAGAAGAAGCTTCACAGCCCTGCCCTAATGAGAAGAGTTCTTTAATCCTGGATTGCAGTGGATTGACCTTTTTTGACTATTCTGGAATCTCCATGCTTGTTGAGGTATTTACACGGCTTGTGTTGGGGCTGATTTCTTCCTTTCTCTTCAGGATCGGGATCTTTTTTTTTTTTTTTTTTAAA